GCCTGCGGCATCGTATCTAGGTCTTCTTCGAACGTCGATTCTACGAGTCCCACACCACCAGATTGACCTACAGTCAGCCTCTTGAATGATTCAAGAAAAAGGCGCCGCGCCCACCTGGTAGCTTGCTGCTTATCGATAGCGTCAAGTCCAATCGTAGGTACTGTGATCCTTCATCGTTCGTGTCATCATCGTGTGGGATCAGGCGTGTTGCCTGGATGCAGGAACGATGATCACTCGAAGGCTTGGCAAAATGGGACTCAGGTTTCCCATGGTGTCTTCCTGATCCAAAACCTGGCGTATAGCATATGCTACCGGAGTACTGGGTTCTGCAACCACCAGCCCGGTAGTGGTTGGTCGTATTCGAGGCCTTCCGGGACACACACCCGTTCCTCCGATGACCATGTACCGCAGAATCTACGGCGCAAGCACTACCGGAGCGCATGAAGGTTAGATTACAAGCGGAACACCCTTGCTTTTTATCGATTTACAGGTCTCGGATGACCAACACCACCTACATCCGTCCTGTGGCGTGCTTCCCTGGTCGTGATTATCCCGACAATGTCTACAGTTTCTTACTGTTCCGATGCTTGTTTGTCTATTTTATTGGCTGATGCTATACCCAAATGCACTCCTGCCGTTGCCTAGTCTCGCAGGCCTTCTCGGTTACGACACGGACACTGAGTTCGCAGCTGGAAAACCTCCACTCGGAGTGCATGGCCATTTTTTGTCCATATCAGCTCTGAGTGTGTCTCTCTATCGAAAGCCAAGTTATCGTCTCCACCATTTCGTCAGCCAATAGAGCCTCGCATCCATCCATTCAGAGCCAGTGAACCAGCCACATGGGAGACTAGGATGATATGCCCAGGCCGAGAATCCACCGCCATGGAACGGACCCCACTTGCAGCGAGTATGATGAGGGTGGGTGTATCATGTGAGACATGAGTCTGGTAAGAGTTCAGTCTATCCCCAAGCGCAATCGGGCCGAGCCATGGAATACGGAAACGAGTATCCAGACTGGACAGTGTGGACGCTCTTCCCGTGCACGCCTCGTGCTTCATCGTGATCAAGCCACGATAACAGGAAAGGTACCGAACCTATCAAATGGCACGCGAAATGTACTCTTCGATCGAGTGACCCGTGAAGGATGCTTTGATAGCAGATATCGATAAATTCCAGCAGCATAACAAGGGCCTGGATGACATGACCGCGTTGACCGGTAAGGCTGACCTTACCAAAGACTCCTTCTGCGAACATGGCAAGGGTAAAGCTTCACCCGAGTAGTGAGGATGGATCGCAGACGAAGGTTGGTCAGCTCCCTCCCGGCCGTCTTTCCCTGCTAGGACACACATCGCAAGGTGCCACTTGTCTTCTCAACACCAACCCGTCTCGAAGATCTCAATCCTTCCCGTGTCGTCCCGACCCTTCCTTCCCGCCGCAAGCGCTCCCCAAGTACAGTCTTTCCACTCAGCACTAGCTCGAACAAGGTGACCGGCATACTTCCACTATTGAAAAGCAACGTTGGTGTGAAAGGATGCCACCATGGACGCGTATCCCACCTGGCATGCTGACGCCGTGGGCTTGGTTCTGGGACCTACTCCACACTCCTTCGCTTCGAAAAGCGAATACGGTATTCAGCCGGTCGAGGAGGTTCTGAGGGACGGTTAAGATACCACGTTGTTATCACCACCCGGCTCTGAGAGTGGTGGCGACACGGATTGCCGCCATGGCCTGAAAGCGACGCGTGGATGTGCCAGCCGATCTCGGAACGAAGAAAGGTGTTTGAGGGTCTGGGTGCAATCGGCAATGCATAGCGGCCCCTAGTGTTCAACCCAGCCGTCGGCGTGCGCGTAAAGCCTTCCTCCTCGGAAGATGGCGGAGTAGTGCTCCTTCTGATCGAGCTACGGGAACGTAGTCAGGTGACTGGGACGTCTTCGGTGATCAGCATATCAGCAACCAGCATGGCTATTAGCCACGACGGCCTTCGCGTGCGAGTCAAAGTAGCTTTGCGTCGTCTCTTCTCATCCTCGGTTACTTACCGCACACGTGGCACGTATACGCTCCACATGTGGTTGAAGAACATGTTCCTCGTCCCCTAACATAGGAAACAAGGTGTTGAGATTGTCGACCTCTCGCCTCAAAGCGTCGTCACTCATATCTCGCAGCGGAGTGACGTACAAACACTCGGCTCGCCGAGCCAGAATGACCTGAGCATGATTCTCCTGGCCTGAAGTCAGCATCTGCTTGCCCTGAACAGTGGCTAGAACCGCAAGCTACTCCTGAAAGCACCCCCTCCCCCATCCCCTCAGATGCAAGTAACTGATCAAACATACCTCAAGAACCATCTCACAAACCTCCACATAAGCCTCCGCCTCCCAAAAGCTAAACCCAACAACAACATCCACCCCCCTCCCCTTCTCCCCACCACCCCACTCCTCAAACCTCAACCGCCCATGCTCAAGATCCGATCGCACCTTCCACCTTTTCGACACCTGCAGCGGCGTAAAGTTCTGCAACATATTGTACAATAGGGACAGGGAAAGGAACGGCTGCGCGCCATCATGCACAATGCAGATCTTTCTCAGTCGCTTGATATCTCTTTCCCACATGATGCGCCAGAGGATCTGGACGATGAGTTCGCGACCGGGTCCGCCGATGCCTTTTTCTGTGTGCTCGGGAAGGTACCGGATGTAGAGTTCTTCTAGGGAGGTGAGGCCGGCGCGGGAGAAGTTGAATGGTTTTACGCGGCGGCGGTTTATGTCTGGGGTGTAGAGTGAGGTGGGATCTGATGGGAGTTTTATTTGGAGTTTTGTGATGCTGGACATGGATGTTGGGGGTAGCAGACTGGTTTTTCGGATGAGTTCTTCTGCTGATGACCATGGAAGGGTAAAGATCGCTGCGGTCCAGGCGAGGTTGTGGTACTCTTCATGTAATTGGCGGCATGTTGATGATAGTGATAATGGAGAACGCTGTAGTTGTGGTGGTGCGGTGCCGGGGTCGCGGGTGAGGATGTAATCTATAATTTGGTTCTTCAATTCACCCGGTAGCAGGAGGAGGGGGGGTTGCTGCGCCATTGTCGTTGGGGTTAGACATCTGGATCGTTATGTATGTGCAGATAGGCGTAGAAGAACGCGCGCTAGTAGTCTCTGTGATGGCGAATATGATGAGTTTGTTGTTCATCGTCGCTGCTGCGGAACGCGTGTCATGGTTTGTGGGGCTCGCTCCGAAGCTTAGTCAGGGGCCCAAGTTTGATGTTGCTGTTGTCATCGTTCCTGCGCATGCAGATGCTCATCGCACTCGAGTTGTGACGACGATTCCTTTGACATGCAAGCGCCAATCTGTTCGTTAGGTCCAGTGTTTCGAAGGCTATTAATGCATATGCTTGACGCGAGGGGAAGGATGCGACACGCTCTTGAGCATCATCTTCACGCGTACGCGACGCGTCCCTTCTAGACTGCTTTCCCCGCCTGCAGCGTCTGACTGCAACCTTTACAAACTTTACAAAGCATAGCATCAAGTCATCTTACCGCTACGAAGGAACTCACTCGAAGTTCAAATAAGCTTTGCACGCAACGGCATGGCTGCCGCCAGCGCTTTCACCTAAACCCAGGCACCCAGAACAGCACGTCCGATCTCATTCTACTCGGCACGCTACACCTCGTTACCCGGACTGAAACATGCCCAGTACGAATTGTACCACCCATAGCCACTATATGAGCACTCTAGAGATGCCGCCTACCCCACTTGGGCTTGGGTCGATATAGCCCATCCGGCAATCTGGAGTTCATCTAAAAACTACCACATCGGGACCACGTACTATCGGCAGCAACCGAACCGATACCATTGGCACCAGGCAGCTGCACCATCAGCAAGGAGGATTTGCGCATGTATTAGCATGGTCAGGAGGCCTCTCATCTCGAGCGCTGTGCTTTCAGCAGAGCCTTCGTCAAGGCAAGATCGGTGATGGTCGGGCTCAGACTGAGCGGTGGTATAAGACAGGCTGAGATGGCTAAGTTTCAGCAAAGTTATTAATCGGAAAGCAGCAGCAGTCATGAAGTCCGTCGTCTTTCCATGGCTAGCAACGGCCCTTGCGCAGCAGGCTAGCGCCCATTGTTCGTGTTTCCATCTTTATCCTCAGAACTGGTTGCTAACGAAACTTTTAGATGTATTCAACCGCCTCATAGTGAACAACACCATCTCTCGAGAATTCCAATACGTCCGCGACGTCTCTGGCAACGCCGGTACCTACGATGACCTCTGGCTCAAGACCTTCCCCATCTACGGGCCCGAAAACGCAAACGTCACATGCGGCCGCGGCTCCTTCCCCGTCCACAACGCCGATACTATACAGACAGCCACAATCGTAGCTGGAAGCGAGGTTGGACTCATGGTGTCTGGGCCCTACTACGAAGGTGAGGTCCAAGGATACATCTTCCACGAAGGACCTGGACAGGTGTTTCTCTCCAAGCTGCCGGATGGAACAAAGAGTCTGATGGAATACGACGGGAAGGGGGATTTCTTCAAGATCGCATACGCAGGACCAGCAGACAAAACGACGTGGTCGACTATGGACACGCTGTCCATCAACTTCACGATACCCGCTGCCACGCCCTCGGGCCAATACCTTTTGCGCATCGAGCACTTCATGCCGTCTATGACTCTTGGACAGAGTCAATGGTTTGTAAACTGTGCGCATGTAGAGATCTTGGAAGGCGGCAATGGAAGTCCAGGGCCGATGGTTAGGTTCCCGAATGCGTACGCTGAAGACGACCCAAGTATTTGGTTCCCGACGCCGAACGATCTGAGCTTGTACAAAGAGCCAAAGCCGGCAGTGTGGAAGGGCTAAACAATGGTTGATGGAGAAGAATATAAGAGAAGACTGATGGCGCTCTCACTTGGATATGAGAAATACATTGATGCATGTGGGAACATGTAGAATCGCATTGTTTTATGAGCACTTTCTATCCTCTATCCGACTACGATGTCCCACATTCTCTCCGCAACTACGCCCTGTTTACATCCATCTTTCCCTTCACCAGCCTGAGCGCCCAAACTCCATCAACTGCAACTATCGTAAAGAATGAAAAGACCAGGCTTCCGCCAAACACCAAGCTGTGGTATGTCCAAGCATCTCCAGCATTCAGGTCAACCACTTGACACGCAATCGCCCATGGTAAGACGTAGAGAATGTTCGATGCGAGAGACTGGTAGAGATACCAAGCTGGACGCGTCGATACCAATATCGCAGCTAATTGTGTCGACACACCATACATAATGTAGCACCAATCGATGGTTCGCCACATACGTGCGGCTATACGTGAGACGTCTTCGGATCCTGAGAGGTACCGTGCGAAAGGCTCAGCACCGGCGAAGGACATGATGAGACAGAGTGGGATCTCCACCATCAACACTATAATGACGGAGTAAAGCGCCCAGCGTACCACGCCCCATAATTGTCGACGCGTAATTTGGAGCTTCGCAGCCTGTGAGATGCTCACGACGGTCGCGCGCAATGCTCCCCATGAGTGACCCACAAAGGTCAGTGTGGTCGCTTCGAGCGCCATGACAGGTACCATTATCAGACCCCATCGGATGGTTGAGAAGACGCCCCAAGCAGTTGCGTAGTCGCTACCCAGCCCGACGATACCGTGGACTAACCACAGGTATAGGGCGTTTCGGATGGCTGATTCTGAGAAGAAGATCGCACCCGGCTTCGCGAGTGTGACGAGAGCTGGTACGGAAGGGGCTATACCGCGGCTGGATGTGTCGCCATGGACCGGCGACTTGGAGCTTACACTCGTCGTGTAAACAAAGTACGCCAGTCCAGCAAAAGCGGAAGTGAGATTGCAAGCGAGCGAGATACCAGCCTGCATGTTCACCGTGGGCGTGATGCTCCCGACATGGAATTTAGAGATGATGATCAAGTCGAGAATGATATTGACAGCAAACTTGACGGAACTGATGATAAGTGGGACATCCGGCTTATCCAGCGCGCGAGTTGACGTTGAGATCGCATACTCTACTGCCGAACTAAATGCAGAGAACGCGGAGATGCGAATATATGTGACACTCACATCTCTGACCTCCACTGGAACAAAGCCTTGCGCGAAAGTAGAAGCGCCTGCGACAAAGCCGATGCTCATGATAAACCCAAGAAGCGATTGGAAGAGGATCAGAGTGTGAGTGAGCTGCAAGCGCTCGCGGAAGCCACGACCGGACTTGTCGCCGATGACGAGGTAAGAAGCACGCGGTAGACCTTCGTTCAAGACTTCTGCGACCACGCCGATGTATGTGTACGTGTCTGTTGTGACTACCATGGAGGAGTCGATGTTCGCAACCCATAGCTTCGATAAGGTGCTATAGAGAGCTGGCAAGATGAAGGCGCAGATGTTAAACAGGAGAGCTCCAATGTATCTTCGTAAAGTTAGTGTATCTGGCGTAGAACTGGTTCAGTTCATCCTTACGTATCGCGATGCAGTGAAGGCTTTAGATCGACGATCGCCTGCTTCTTCCACGATAAGCGCTCGCGATCTCGTGCTCCATCGAACGCTTCATAGCGCTCCTCTACCGCAGAGCCAGTAGGCGAGCTGGTAGCGACTATGTTACTGTCCTTGGAGGGAATCATCTGATATCGATATCGGGGACGTGACTGTGGTGTGAATTGCGAAAGATCAGTTAGAGTGGGCATGTTTGCTTATAGCTGCGTGGGGTAAAGGCCATACAAAGCAAGCTTGACGACAAACAATCAAGCCACACGCATATGCACGACGCCGTACACTGCATGTTCAATGAGTACAGTCAATGGTAGGTGGGATGTGAGGGTGAAAGAAAAGGCCATGCGGGACGGATAGTGGGGGGATGCAGGGCTTCGCCGCGGACCGTGATTCTAACCGACGTACAGGATGGTCCGCGGAAGCACAAGCCTCGGAGTGATGAAGTGTTTGATTGGACAGATTGAACTTAAGTTGCAATAAAAGCTGTGCGAAGGGAATGTATTGGCTCGCTTCGAGAGTGACATCACTGGCAACCTTGCCCATACTTGACAATATATGCGTTCGTGACTGACAGCCAAGTGCTGTTGAATATGTGGATAAATCTCATTTCGAACTATGTCTTGAGTCACAGTTTTCTTCCGCCTCAGCAGAGTACGAAATACTCGCTAAGCAGTGTTTCCTTCCTATACGAGAAGTCCGTGTTGGTTTCCGCGTCCGCTGCTGCAAGGTGTTGGTCGACATTATCCACCACTTCATGACCGTAGTAGCTGCCGTCCATCCAACCATCCACATGACATTCCCCAACTAACTTCCAACGTATACTACCATCACCGCGCGCCTTCCGTAGCACGAATGGTACCTGACCCCCGTCAAAAATGACCACTAGATCGTCAACCATGGTATGCCTGGGTGCTCTGCCCATGTACCCTTTGACGGTAGTGAATATATAGGAGTAGTAATAGTTATAAGCGTAATCTGAAGGCAGATGGCAGAAGTCTTTTGGCATAGCTGGTGATGGGGGATCTTTGAGCAAAGTAAGTATTCGCCAAAATTGGTCCTGAATCCTTTTTGGTGTCATATCGTGTCTCGTTGGATCCTGGTCCATGATCCGCTTCGCGCAGGCTTGAATGCTACAGAATACGTCTAGTAGATTTGTCTTCGCAGTGCCCGTCAAGTTGTTAGTCCCAAGAGTATAAGGTAGGCCCGTTGAATCTGTGAGCCATACATCGGACGACGATAAGACTTGACCAGATTGGAGAAAATCTTCTAAAGTCTGATGTATGTTTGTCTTAAGTCGTATTCGAGCTCCTCTCTCAGGTATTGACATAACATTTGGCTTCCAACAGCCGCTGATATAGTCTACGATCACACCTCGAATCTGGACGGAGGCAGGTCGAATCAATTCCGCACAGGCAACTCGACTCATGCCCGCTCTGCTTGCTTCCATTTTATATCTTATCACGTCAGAGACATGATCTTGATCTGGTCGATAGACAAATGATGGATCTAAGTCGTCTAGTCCTCGGAAATCTGCGTCGCGTAATATGTCTATATTTCCATTTGTAATTTCCGACCAGGTGAACTCCAGAAAGACGTCTGCAACAGTGAGACTGTAGTTGGGAACGATCCTAGTCGGTCCTTGGACCAGTCCAAGGAGAGCATATATCAGATCCCGTTCATCAGTACACTTAGGAAGCTTCATGTGTACCTGTCGACAACACTCGTATAGTGAAAAACCTTCTGAGTCAGGGCATGGAAAGGTGTGCCACGTAGTACGGAACATGAAGAGAGTAAGCACCGTGTTGACGTTGTTATCGGGATTAAGCGCGGATGATAATATGGAGTCCAGCTGGCGGATTCTGTTAGAGGTGTATTCGATGGCCTTTTCCATTACATGGTCACTGATATGCTCGTTGCCAGCGCAGAAACGCACATCTTTAGCGAGAACGAACTCTTGTATAGTCCATAGTCTATCGAACCATGGTGTTCCAATTATCCTGGTAACAGCCATCATAACTTTGTCGACAGGGCCGGTAAGCTTGGAGTTGGCAGTTGACGTGCCGTCATCCGATGTGTTTTCATGTTCTTTCAATGCCTCGAAAGCTTCGCTGGTATTTTCGTTACCCAGCCACACCATGACTCTTCTGGCCGTCGCGTAAATGGAGCCCATGTTCTTGACTTGGTGGCTTTTCTCATCGTTATCCGACTGGTTGATGCAGACTGCATCTGCCCAGAGGATCCGGCTCCGGTCCGGGTAGCGCATCGCCTTTAGCGCAAGATGCAAGCTCTCAGTGATTCTCAGCACGCGGTTGCTTTCTACATCGTGTAGATAGCATGCGGAGTTAGGGCTGCCCCAAACGTACGAGATAGCTTCGAACTCGATGTCGGAATTTGTGCGGTCTATCTCAAGTATCTGACAGGACAAGGCTGAGCCGAATGGTCCCGGTAAAAGTTCGAGCACACGAATTGAGTCAGGCGTCTGCAGCGCTTTGTGGATGTAACGCTGGACATCAGGGTGGACCAAATCGGAAGTATCCACTGAATCGGACATCTCGATAGCATGAGGCTGATCGGACGACATTGTGCTACGCTTCAACCAAGGATTGGCTGCAGGATGTTCTGCAATGCGCCTTGCTTCTGGGAAATACCGACGGAGTTTTTTGGTGTACGACTTAAGTCTATCTGCATGTAGTTCATGAATGGTGAAGATGTTAGGTTGGGATGAGTAGGCAACGAGAAGTGCGAAAGGCTGAGGGCTGAAGGCAGCCTCTTATACAAGTCTGCCAATTGGGCCTTATGCAGTCATGCGCGGATGTAGCGCACACCTATCACAGCTTACCATGCCGCACTCGCCTTGTCACTGTCGGCGATGCGATGCGGTGCATGACAGGCCGAAGTACGAAACTGAACAGCATTCTTGTTTCGCGGTAGCGTCGTCGAGCATACGATTTGGATGATCCGATGGTATTGAGCAGTGGTGTATTGAACGTACGAGGATGAAGTAAAGACGCAGCAGGTGCCAGGCGCGCCCCGCAGACCAAGCCCAAAGCTGTCATCGTGCCCCACCCCACGTGGGCCATATGTGAGGTGCCTAGGTAGGTAGCCCTGGAGGTGTCAAGAATTACTCTACCTCAACATGACATCCCTTCTACAATCAAGGAGGAACAAAGTCGCTCATGTTGTTAATCGTTTGTACCACGATGGTCATGACTTCTATATCCGTGCGATGAGGGCACAGTCCTTCCACAGACCACACCTACACTCGCTCGCCTCGTCCTCTCATCAAACACCAATGCTAGGCTCTCACCATCATCTGGAACTGAATCCCTAGCAAAAGAGCTTCTCTGGAAATGTATGATGTGCTAAGGTCGCCGATTTCGCAAATCTCAAGATGCTAAACGTCCCATCCCTCTACCGCAAACAACCCTCGCAACCACCCACTCCTTCAGCAGCTTCCTCCGAAATATCCACAACCTCAACACCCGACCCAAACCTCAACCTAAACCACAAAACCCACACCCTCCCCTCCGGCAGCATCGTCCACATCTGGACTCCCTCCCTATCCTCTCCCTCCGTCGCAACAATCATCCTCCAACACGGCTACGCAGAATACTCCTTCCGCTACCTCCACTCCCACTCCTCCCTAATCACCCACCTCCTCGCCACCAACTACACAATCTACGCCCTCGACCTCCACGGCCACGGCACCTCCCCCGGCCAGCCCCGCGCCGTCGTCCACGTAGGAAAAGCCGTAGCCGATCACATCGAATTGCGACGCTATGCTGTTGAACAAGGGAATGGGAAACCGGTCGTGTTAATCGGGCATTCACTGGGCGGGTTAATTACCGCGGGGAGTGTAGTAGACAATCCAGAGGGCATCTCCGGTGTAATCCTAACCAGTCCCGCGTTCCCAGGTCCCTTCCCCCACGCCGCTCGAGTAGCCATCGGCGTCTTAGCACGCACAATACCCACAATCTCCATCCCAGGGCGCGCGGTACCCATTTCCGGCCTCACACGCCGTGCGGTCGAGATAGAGAAATATCTCGTCGATCCTCTGTGTTCTAAAAAGAGCATATGCTTCTTAACAGCTGCGACGGCCGTGGATGTTGCAGACAGTGTTAGAGCGAAGCTGGCAGAGTGGACAGTGGCGACGTTGGTGGTGCATGGGGACGAGGATGCGTATTGTGATTGGAGGGGGAGTGAGAGGTTTGTGGATGGGATAGGGAGTTTGCGGAAGGAGTTTGAGGTGGTTGGAGGGGGGAGGCATGAGTTGTTGAATGATGAGTGTGGGGAGGAGGTTTTGGAGAGGGTGATGGCGTGGATCAAGGGACGGGTGTAGAAATGGACGGTTGTGGACTGCATAAGTGTGATTGATATGCTATAAACGCCGTCCGATGCAACACCGTCCTAGGCTATAGCAATGCATAGCAATGCGAGCTGGACTAGTGATTATACAAAATGCCGATATCCGTATCTTGTTCTACATGATTGTGGATGAGCGCGGAATTAAAGTGGTATCGTCCTTGAGCTCAGAAGTGGGGGGTCATCTTGCGGAAAAATGTGCAAGTTGAAACCAGAGCCATCGCCCAAGCCGCTTGCGCTGATGATCTCCTTTCTCAAGAAAACACTGAACATGTCTAGACAGTGCTTCCACTGCTGAACACCTTGCCGAAAGCATCTCCCTCTTCCATACTCAGCCCCTCGTCTAGGATGTCGTGCGCCATGTTGACGACTTCATCTTCGATCCCTGCTTCTAGCACTAAGCCCTCACTGAAGGCCAACCGCGTCAGCGCAACGAGATAGGCATGATGGCCACCTAGCGT